GATTACTATGCGTAATTCAATTCAAAAATCTGCAATATTGCAGATTTGAAAAAACAATTGCAGTACCATCCTTAATCATGCAGTAATTGATTCAAATTTCGATTATAATGCGGTATTCTTTTAAGTTTCGCTTATAATGCAATTATTCTTTTAAGTTTCATGTAATATGCAATAATAATTTTAAATTTCGATTATAATGTAGTGATACAATTGTATTGCGATCATCATTTTAAGTTTCAGAATATAATACAGGTTTTACTTTAAATTTCGATTATCATGCGGTTATTGTTTTAAGTTTTGATTATAATGCATGTGTCAATTATTATGTAAATATTAATTTAATTATTATTCCGCCACAGCATCTATATTAATTGTTTTCATTTTATATATATAAATCGTTCATTGACATTGACAAAAAACAGCAATTTGAAATTTTCAAGATGACAAGAAATAGGTCTATTTCGAATATCATTGGTAATAAGCTGACAAAATGACTATCTTAAATAAAAAAAGATAACAAGGTTCCTTGTTATTGTAACAAGTATAATGGAAAATTAGTTCTAAATCAGACTAAACTTTTTCATGAATCGACAAGTGGTTCATCAACAATTCATGGTGATTCTGCTATCAAACAATTATTTCCGAATTTTGACGAATTGATACTTGATACAAGATCATCTGCAGAAATTAAATTACAGGCTTCGAGGAGTGAAATGATTGATGAATCACAAGCTTCAAGAATTGAAATGACTGATCGTTATCCTAAATTACCAAATGTACTTCAAAGGTGTACAAGAAGGTATATAAGTCATCCGCAAGTTACTGACGATTTGAATGATTCTGAAGATAAACAACATACCAAATCTTTTTTAAGTGATAATTATGAATATAATGAAAGATGACATATCGAATCTCCTATGAGTGAAGACGAAAGTGAATTGGATGATTTAACTATTTCTGAAACTTTTGAAAATTATTCGTTGCTGAAATATGAACCATATCAAGATGAAGAAGAGAAAGTAACAATTTATGATCAATTTGCATGGATTTTATTATGAATAATGAACTTTCAAATTAGATTCAATGTATCTGAGACCAGTGATGTACATTTCCTATGTCCTAAGCATTTGCTGTCCCAGCTATATGTCCCAACTATATATCTTAACTATGTTTCATATATGTTCCAAATGTCCCATCTGTTTTATCAATGTCCTATCAGTGTCCTATCAGTGTTCTAACTATGTTTCATGATAACACTCCTGAGACTGCAACAGATTCTCTAATAAAATTTATGAAATTAGTTCTAATTGAAATCGGTGATGATAAGCCCTATAAGAAATTGAAATAAGGAAATGATACGTTTTTTATAAGGTTTGTATATGTAATTAATGATTCTATA